ATATATATATATATATATATATATACATATATGTAAAAGAAGTACAAGGGGATGACTTGGAAATAAGCCATTTTTCAGAAATATTTTCATTTATCTTATGATTATTTTTAATATTGTTTAAAAAAAATACTGTATATTGAATTGATATATTGTCTTAAAATATTATACTAAAATATAAATATCTGAAATTTATGTTGATATTTCTGTATTATGAAATATTCTATAAAGTCTTAATATTTGTATGTTAAAATTTGAATTGTATTTCTTAAGTTTTACTTTTAACTTAAGAAATATTCTATAGAGTCTTAATATTTCTGTATTTATATTTATTGAACCAGTTTGTTGAACCAAACCTAAACCACATCAAAGAAAAATGATAAGAAGATTGAATAGTGACCCCTCACCTTCTGAGGAATAAAACTGAAAAAGTCCAAAAAAAAAATGAAAATGAGATGTTCTTTGAGAAAGAGCCAAAACTAGTGTTTTCTTTTTCCTGAGAATTTTCTCTGAAATAATTATGGGTGCAAAAGTTCATAAAAAAATCAATAGCCTCCCTACTAACATTACATGGCCAAATAGAACTTCACATTATTTTACTTATTCCTCTACAGTTTGACAGCCATTCTAAAATATATACATGATATTGATGTACCACCCTTGCTCCAAAACCCTCCTATAATATTCACTGGGCCAAAAAGAAAAGGATCAAGCAAGACCTTTTCTTGTGAAATGGTACATGGTATTGTCATGACTATGTTCATACTTAGTCTACAAAACCGTAGTCTCTAATGATAGGCACAGTCAGTTTCATGACCACAAGAGAAAGAACAGCTTTGACAATGAAATTTTGGTGCAATTAATGCATAATCGTGAGGACTGTGTTGAGCCACCAAGGAATTACTAAACCTAAAGAATAATATACCCCATCGGAATAGGAATAAGAATGGCGATGGTGCACACCTGTGTGCTTGTTCATCATGCAGGAGAGTTGGAGCATGTTCTTCCTTTGAGAAAAGGAGCTTCAAACAATGTCTACCTTTGAGAAAAGGAGAGTTCGAGCATGTTTTTTGCTAAGAGAAAACTCCTCCAAACAATGTCTGCACCAAACATATATATTCTTCCGTTGGGAGTTCCCATACCTGTATGTATCTCGATGCACTAGAGTTGGAGTGGTCCATCTCCCTTCTTTGGAACATATGTTCTTGTCAGGACATTCTTAATGGAGATGTTCTTGTCAAACACCTATGGTTATTATTTTACTATGTTACTGTCACCCCATCCACATCCAGATTTCCCTGTCGAAGGCCATGATCATGTTGCTCCTTTTTTCTTATGAGAAAAATGAGCTTAAAACGTTGGGCGATGTCTGCACCAAACGGTGGCAGTTCCCATACCTGTATGTATCTCAATGTACCAGAGTTGGGAGTGGTCCATATGCGCCTTTTGTGGAACACATGTTCTCATCAGGACATTCTTAATGGAGATGTTCTTCTCGGCACTTAATGTTGTTTGTATGTTTGCCTGTCAACCTATGGTTATCGTTTGACTATGTTAATGTCACCCCATCTACATCCATATTTCCTTTCGAAGCCCATGATCATTATGTTGCACCATTCTTTTTTTGATAGAACATGTCGCCTCATTTGTGTAGCAAATACTTTTTGGATTCTTGTACAGTTTAATCTGATGGCTTCACCAAATGTACTACCGACGAGCATTGCGTGTTGGTTCATGGACGTTTTACGAGAACGAAAAGGTTTCATCTCCAGGTATCAATCTTCTTTGGAGACAAAACTAGCTTTCTTGCTGACTGACTCTCTTTGGCCATGAATTCTCATCTTTTGAGCACCAAGTTTGTAGTCGCCAGCTATATTTCTCCATCAAATATTGGAAGGCATATGTTATGACGAGGGCGCCACTCGTGTGTCTCGGCTTGCCAGCGTCGCCTGTCACGGTGATCCCTGTCGCTACGGTGCCGAGGTGCGAAGACGACGGCACTTGCAGGCCTCGTGGCTGAGAGCTACGGTCGATCCGCCGAGGCACGAGAGCCGCACGCATCCTCTCGAGGCACGCCCCATTTGATTACCATGTCAAACCGAACGAAGAGATGGCTGCCACCAGATCTGTACGATGGAGACGAAACCCCTCGGGCAACCACACCCTCGTCTTCCTAAAGCTATACCGGTTGGTGCAAAAGGAAAGATATGTATGGCTTCCCCTGCTATTGTTACAGTACCAGCGAGCACGACTCAAAAGGAAAGATATGTATGGCTGAGATGAAGCATCCCTTCCTGCTGAACTCTACAAGGAAGAAGGTGACGAGCGGATCATCTCTGAACCACAGGATCCACCTTTCACTTTCACCAGCCAACAACAAGCAGAAACAAGTCATGTGTGGTTAGCAGACATATCAACATTCCTGTTGCATCGGGACTAATGTCATCTGCATTAAGGAATGAAGAAGAGGCGTGCCAATTTAGTTTGGTCATTATTATCTCTTCTCTGAAACTTATTCCGCCTCATCAGAGTAACCTACAAAAGTGATCCTCGTACCACGATATAGGCTTCCTTTCTAAGTCAGAGGTCGAGTGAAAGAGTAGAAGATGGCACAATACACAGTTGAAAGGTTCAAACACTGATCAAGATGAACATACGGAAGAACATTTTCCTAATAGACTCTGCTTCCTCCAAATCGTCGGACCCCTTGACCTTGGCCGTCGCAGACGTGTGCTTCATGTCGTGTACAACAACGCTACGGCCCTGCAACCGAAGCACAGAGTACGTAGTTCCCACCTCAGGTTACATCGAGTCCACCTGTGTGTGCGTGTGTGTGGATTTGGAGGTCATACACAGAGACGAAGAACAGCAACGATCGATGCCATTTCATGCCCACGTACTCCCTGTGATGAATCATAATCATAACATATCTTCCCCAAATCCCGATACAGGAGCACGAGTAACGGTGTATGGCTTGACCGATTCTGTACAGAGGATGATGAGCAAAAGGAAGGGACTCTGATCCGGAGCTCCTTAGCAGATCGAGCTGCACTGCGCCGAACATGCGCCGAGCTGTTGCGTAGGGAAGCTCGTATCCCTCCGCTTGACTCGGACCGGAAGGCCGCCCTCCAGTGAGGCGGTGAGGCCGGGCGCAAACTTGGGCGGCAGGCTGCTGCCGTCGTCTACGACGTGGATGTCGAACCGCCGGACCACCGCCACGATCACCGTCTTCATCTCCATCAGCGCCATGTCCTTGCCGAGGCACACCCGGAGGCCGCCTTGGAACACCGGGTACTTGTAGGGGCTCTCGGGCGTGAACGCTCCGTTGGTCAGCCACCGCTGCGGTCGGAACTCGTGGCAATCGCTCCCCCACAGCTCTT